ATTATGGCTTCATCAATAGGAAGGGCAATCTTTGTGGAGGAGGAAGGCTGCAGTATTTGAAGAAACTTGTGTTGTCTCTCCTGTACTTGTAAAGCAATGTCCTGAGAATTTGCAATCCTTTTAAAAAGTACTTGAAACTGGTTTAGGTTGTCTGTCATCCCATCTTTTTCACCTCCAGCAGTCTTGTCAAGTGAAGAGAGAGAGTTGCTGGCCAAAGAGGGATCATCCGTGTCAGACTGAAGTAAATCATCATCCTCTTCAATTGGGTCTTCTGCTATAACTGAAGTCCTATCAGCTGTGTGGGTTGATGATCAAATTGCCAGATGGGGCAGTGTGGAGGGTGCCATATGTTGCTGTTGATATTGAGACCATGGATCCCAAGGAGGCCATTGTGGAGAGTAGGATAGAGGTGAATAGGGACATGGGTGATTAAACCAGGGATATTGAAGAGTCTGCTAAGTAGTTTTCAGTTTCGCTGACTGCCAGGAGGGTGCAGAATACACAGAGGATGAATATTGCAATGAGAATCTGATCCCCTGTTCAGTAACCATGGTGAAGGTGAGAGCTAAAAATGTTCCATATTAGGGATGTAAAATTTGGATTAATTGGCTAATCGAGCAGTCAATGCAATTTATTAAATTAGTCAATAAGGGTGCACCCATCTTTTAAGTATAGCAACAGCGTCAGGGCTGTTGCTACACTTCAAAGGTGGAAGGGCTGCAGGGAGCATGGGGTGAGTGGGGGACTCGAGCAGTCCCCCCTCTAATCCCCATGCTCCCCATGGCCTTTCAAAGCAGCAGCGCCGCATGAAGCCTGGGGTCAGGGAGGGAGTCCCCTGCTAAGCCTGGTCTCCACGCAGTGGTGCCGCTTTGAAGTGAACTCTTCTTTCCCCACCCCCTTGCCTCTTTCTGATAGAGGCAGCAAGGGGGTGAGGGGAAGCAATTAGTCGACTAGTTTGTTGACTATCTGTTAAACATTTGCTTTTCGGATAGTCGACTAGCCGTTCCCTAGTCCACATGGTGCTGGGGTGGACTGTGGGCATTGAGGACGGGAGTGTGGTAACAAGGCACTCGTAGTATCCAAGACTGTCAAGGCTTGTGTCAGCGCATACCGGTGCTGAGGGTCAGCTTTCTTGTGTACAGTCTTGTCCACTGGATCCAATGCAGACTGGTGTCTACGTGTCAGAGCCGGGGCACGTTCCGATGCAGGAGTGTGCACTAGTGTGGTGTTACCAGCCGGTGCCAAGGGAGGTGGCATGTCCGGACTCTTGGCTTTCAGTACTAGACAGGTGGTTGTTGTGGACAGTGCAGAGAAGGCAGTTTACATTTCTACCCTGAAATGCTTTGGTGGTGCTGTTTGGCATTTGTCAGTGGTGCTGAAGGTGGACGGTGCCGGCAAATGAATGGTTTTTGCTGACATCGGCACTGCTAGTAGCTATCGAGGCGGAGATGAGAAGGCTCTCTTCCTCAGAGCAGAAGGTTCCACGAGTGGAGGCTGTTGAGGCTCTGAAGTGGGTTTTGGCAAGAGAAACTTTTCCCATAAGAACAAAAAACAGGACTATGTAGCACTTTAAAGACTAACAAGATGGTTTAATAGGTGATGAGCTTTCGTGGGCCAGACCCACTTCCTCAGATCAAATAGTGGAAGAAAATTGTCACAACCATATATACCAAAGGAGACAATTAAAAAAATGAACACATATGAAAAGGACAAATCAAATTTCAGAACAGAAGGGGGGATGGGGAGGGGAGGTAAATGTCTGTGAGCTAATGATATTAGAGGTGATAATTGGGGAAGCTATCTTTGTAATAGGTAAGATAATTAGCGTCTCTATTCAAACTTGAGTGCAAAGTGTTGAATTTAAGCATGAATGACAGTTCAGAGGATTCTCTTTCAAGTGAAGTCTTAAAAGGCCTTTGAAGCAGGATGCAGATAATCAAGTCGTTGAGACAATGTCCTTTCTGGTTGAAACAGCAAGAATGTCCAACACATTATCAATAAACTACAGCCTATACTGGAACACGATATTAAACTCCGAGAGGCTCTGGGAGATAGACCCATAGTCTCCTATAGACAACCTATAGTCTCCCCAATTCACCCAACCCCCAAGAAGCCCTACTGCCTGCCTCCGAAAATGGAGGTAGTGCTGGCTTTCCGTGGGGTGGAGGGAAGTCCTGCAGCTGCGCGCCACTTCCAGGGTTTCCAGAAGTATACTGCCTACTCCCCTCCTCCAGATCTGTGGCGTGCCGGGAGAAGGTGGAAGTCCCGGAAGAAGGAGTGCACTGGGGCTCCCCTCCTCTGTGGGGGAGAAGGTAGGAGTTCAGAGGGGAAGCATGCATGTTCCCACTGGCACCCGTCGGCACCCTGCCCTCGCACTAGGGCTTCCCTTCTGGGGGGAGGGAGGGAAGAGGGGAAGGGAGGTACGCACCGGGGCTCCACTCCTCTGCGGGGCAGAAGGTAGGAATCGTGGGGGGAAGTGCAGGCCGGGGAGGGAGGAGGAGTCCTGCGGGGAAATGCATGGTGGGGCTTTCCTCCTTTGCGGGGGACAGGGGAGAAGTCCCTTCTTGGGAGGGGAGGGAGAGGCGTGTGCCCAGAATTCTCTGCCCCAGCCAACACCCTGCCCCCTGTTCCCACTGGCACCCAGGCACCCTGTCCCTTGCCTCTATTGACACCCTGTCCTGGAACCTACTGGTCCTCTGTCCCTTGCCCCAGCACCCATTGGCACCCTGCCCTGGCACGCAGTCTCCTGTCCCAGCACCCATTGGCTCCCTACCCAGCACCCTGTCCCGGTACCCCCTGGCACCCTTCCCCAATACCATGTCCTCTGCTCCCACTAGCACAGTTGGGGCCACATTAGAATCATAGAACCATAGAACCGGAAGAGATCTCAGAAGGTCATCAGTCCAGCCCCCTGCTCTAGGCAGGGCCAATTCCAACTAAATCAACCCGGCCAGGGCTTTGTCAAACCGAGACTTAAACACCTCTAGGGATGGAGACTCCACTACTTCCCTAGGTAACCCATTCCAGTGCTTCACCACCCTCCTAATGAAATAGTTTTTCCTAATATCCCTTCACCACCCTCCTAGTGAAATAGTTTTTCCTAATATCCAACCTGGACCTCTCCCACCACAACTTGAGACCATTGCTCCTTGTTCTGCCATCTGTCACTACTGAGAACAGCCTCTCTCCATCCTCTTTGGAACCTCCCTTCAGGAAGTTGAAGGCTGCTATCAAATCCCCCCTCACTCTTCGCTTCTGCAGACTAAACAGACCCATCTCCCTCAGCCTCTCCTCATAAGTCATATGCTCCAGCCCCCTAATCATTTTGGTTGCCCTCTGCTGGACCCTCTCCAATGTGTCCACATCCTTTCTGTAGTGGGGGGCCCAGAACTGGACACACTACTCCAGATGTGGCCTCACCAGAGCCGAATAAAGGGGAATGATGACATCTCTGGATCTGCTGGCAATGCTCCTCTTAATGCAACCTAATATGCCATTAGCCTTCTTGGCTACAAGGGTACACTTCTCATCCACTGTAACTCCCAGGTCCTTTTCTGCAGAACTACTACTTAACTGGTTGGTCCCCAGCTTGTAACTATGCTTGAGATTATTCCGTCCCAAGTGCAGGACTCTGCACGTGTCCTTGTTGAACCTCATCAGATTTCTTGTGGCCCAATCCTCCAATTTGTCACTCTGGACCCTATCTCTGCCTTTAAGCGTATCTACCTCTCCCCCCAGCTTAGTGTCATCCGCAAACTTGCTGAGGGTGCAATCCATCCCCTCATCCAGGTCATTAATAAAGATATTGAACAAATGATTGGACCATGCAGTGGGTCGGAGAGGCTGCCTACTGACCATGAGGGGGAGCTGCTCCTCCCTGAGCCTTGGTGGGCAGCAGCTAGCCCTGACAAGACACCTGACCAGAAACCAAGGGGAGGGGCCAGCGATGCACAAGGTCTACCAAGGAGGCCAATGAGAGCCCAGTGGCTGAAGGAGCCAGAAGCTTTCCCCCTGCTCTCCCTGGAGGAGTGGGACCCAGGTGAAGCAAAGGACTAGCCAGGGCTCCCAGACGACATGGACGGACTATTTACCTGGCCCAGGAGCCAAAGCAAGGGAGCCCTGAGGACTGGCCTGGAACCCAGGTATAGCCACGGGGGGAGTTTGGAAGTAGCCCAGGGAAAGCTAACCACCTGTTGGCTGAGCCAGAGCTAAGGCAGCATTGTGGAGCAGATCTCCGCTGACCCACAGTAGACTGCTCTGCTGCTACCAGGGCCCTGGGGTAGGACACAGTGGAGTGCGAGAGCCTGCATCCCCCCTGCTACCCTACTCTTGGTGGCAGTCTCCCCCTTTGGCTGTGCCTGAATAACCGCCTGCACCCACTGTTGCCATGCCCTGAGCAAGGGTTTGGCTTTGAACTGTACATTTAACTGCTGCCATGCCCTGAGCAAGGGCTTGGCTCTGAACTGTTTGGTTAGTTACCGCCTGCCCTGAACTGAGGCCGGGCCAGTAAGACTGTTTGTTTGCCACTCACTCTGAACTAAAGGCGAGCTTTTGGACTCTTTAAGTTGCAGCTTGCCCAGTGAGAGGGCCTACACTTGGGACCTCTGCCATTGCTAATTCCCCAACTGACGACACAGCACATAGTGGGTCGGAGTGTCCGCCCACTAACCACGACGGGGAGCCGCACCTCCCCAAGTGCAACCCATTTACAGACCAAAATATACTGGAAGAGTTTTTCTTTCAAGAACTTATACCCACCAGATTCAGTCCAAACCAAAATTATTAGTCCTTATTTAGGAACATTAATCTTAAGCATGTAAAGTCTTTTACTGGTTTCTTACTAGACACTATAGTCCTTTATGAAACAGCTTGTTCTGCTATTGTTGTCTTAAATTTATTTGGAAGTACCATCATATAAAGTGAAATAAAACAAATTCTCATAAGTCTGAAGACTTTATTAGTAATACTATCCTAAGTAACAGATGCCTTTGTTACCTCTTAATAGTTTCTTCTCATCATTTCTACCTCTAAAGCCAGATAGACGCAAGGCATCTGAGATAAAAAATAGACCAAGCATTCACAGTCACTTGGAAGACTCCAAAAGTAACAGGTGTAATATCAAGTATATATCAGAAAGAATTATTTGCTTTTTGTTATCTACATAATACATCAGTGAATCCCAAATGTTTTAAAAGAACTTCTTCATACTTAATTATCATATCATATAATAAGCTTAATTCTGTCTGATTTTACAGAACTTTTGAAATTAATGCCAGCAATGCCCTTCTGCCCTGTATACTGGCCAAACTGGACAGTATCTACATGAAAGAATTAATGGACACACATCAGATATTCAAAAAGGTAACACACAGAAACCTTTTGGGGAACATTTTAACTTGCCCAGGCACTCATTAATGGATCTCAAAGTCACCATATTGTTTCAGGCCAATTTCACAAGCCAACTCCACAGGGAAGCCTTAGAACTTAACTTCATTTACAAGTTTGATTCCTATAAACAAAGGCATGAATAAAGACATTGGCTGGATGGCCCACTACATTCCACATTCTTATTATATAAAAAACCAAACAATGGGTACTTAAGAAAAGTTAGTACCTTCTCCATCAGCTTCATGTAGCATGGACACTCTACTTGACTATTTCTTTCCCCTTTTTTTCTTTTTTTTCCTTCTTTTTCTCGCTCCTCTCCCCCTCCACCTCTATTTACTTAGAAACTGGACCTTTAATAACTCCATTAATCTGAAGAAGTAGGTTGTGCCCACAAAAACTCATGATACTATGTGTTGTTCGTCTTTAAGGTGCTGCAAGACTATTAGTTGTTTAAGTTTTTCCAGTTACAGACTAACTCGGCGACCCCTCTGAAGCTTTTGAAATTTGTTAGTTTTTCCTCTTCTTTTTATAGCACTGGTTACTCAGTGATGGTGTAACTATGGTGACAGAATATTAACCTTGTTTCAGTTGTAAGTTATTCTTTGCTTATCTTACAATAAGAGTTATTTCTTGAATAAATGAAATTAAGAGAATAAGGAGGAAGAATGTAAAAATATAGGTCATTTTATGGTAAATGGCTACATCATTTTAATTTCCTCTTATAGTCGTAGTAAAACTATTAATCACAATAAACTCATTTTGTCTAAAAGCAAAGGTAATACACTGGTCCATGTAAATCACTTTATGGCCTTCATAGAATGATGTTAGAATACCTAAATAGGTGCTGTAATAAATTTCCTCTTTTGGAACACTGCTTGGCAATGAAGGTTACCTAGGGGTGGGTGTGATTAGTGCCAACTATTCACAAGAACAGTCCACTTTAATTTCTGTAAAATGTACCTGAATACCATAAACATTGGTTCCATACATCCTGCCCCTCAGTCTGAATAGATATAGATATAGTGCTAACATATGTAATAATATGCTCAGGATACTTCTAGAAAAATTCCTAGCTCCAGTTCTTATAAGGTTTCCTGCTATTTACAGAACTGAAACTAAACAAAAAATGAACACTGAAGGATTACTAATATATTGTACCTTTTAAAGTATTGTTTCTTTGAGCAGCAATTTTGGCATATGCAGGTACATCAAATGTAAAATACAGTAGGGTTGTACATATTCCATATTATGTCTCTTTTCCTAAATGTGGCTATGACTGTGATTTGGTAATATACATAGCTCTGCTTAAATGCAGCAATATATGATAGAAATTTCATTTTATTTCACATATAAATAAATTATGTTGTCTGGGGAAGTCTTACCCACTTATCCAAACATAAACCAATTACTGAAATCCCGTAACAGTCTGGCAATATAGATATACTAAAAGGGCCTCTGTTTTATTCTAAAAAGACCCTGTGTGCTACAATCCAGACTATAATTCCCATGAGCCCTTGGAACAAAAGAGGTAGGAGGGACTCTTGTGAGAGAGAGAGAGGAGGCTCTCTCTATGTGCTTGAAGAAGAGGCCTAGCAGTCTGGGACTCTGCCTTGCAGTTTGGAACCAAAGGGGGAGCCAGGCTGCTGCCAAGGACATTGACCCAGTGGAGGGGCTGTTGGAGTGCAGCTACTACATGCCTGTTGGAACTGGGAGTTAACAAGCTGCTTCCCATAGGCACAGCATGAGGCAGTAAGTTTGGGCCTTGCTGGAAGAGTGCTGCCTGGGACAGAGCTGCTGTTTAGCCTGGACTAAATCCTCACTACAGCTGCAACATCAGTGCACCAACGCAAGCAAGTATCTGGGACTGAGTCTAGGGGTGTGCACACTCTGGGGTGGGGTCACTGTTGTCTAGCTATATAAGCTTCAGTTATTGTTATGTGTTTTGTTAATGCTATTCCTTGCTAATCTGTTAATCCCTGTTTAGTTAAGTAAAGATGGTTTATTTTAAAGTGTTCTATTAGATGTATATGATTTGTAGTTGTTCTGGAATTAGATCCAGCTTTATGTTGGAATGAGTATATTCCTGGAGGCTCTCAAGGCACCAGTGTGTGTACAAGGCCAGCCAGGTGGAGGCACCGCCACTTTACATTCATTGCCAGCAAGGGACTGCAGCAAGGGGGTGGATAGGGCTTTCCCCAGCTAAACACCATCACCACTGGGGTACTCAGGATCTCTTTTGGGTTAAAACACCAGGCACACCTGTGAGTGTGACCTGCTCCCCAGTAACCCGGGGAGGAAAAAGGGGGTTACACATGTCATAGATACAATCTACATGTCAAAGGTACCTACCTCTCTCATTCCTCATAAAAGTGTTTTCATCAAGGCTTTAGGGAAAATTGGTGACTTCCCTTTTGTTTTATCTTTACAATAATTCTGTTTAGTTTATAGTTCAGTAACTAGCGTGTCTGACTCTAGAATGAATCAAAAATATGCACATTACAAATATATACAAGATCAATTTCTCTACTCAGTACACTCCGGTCATCTGAAGAAGTGGGCTGTGCTCACGAAAACTCATGATACCACCTACATGTTTTGTTAGTCTTTAAAGTGCTACCAAACTATTTGTTGTTTTTTAAGTTTTTCCTGTAGACTAACTCAGCTACCCCCTTGAAGCTGTTTGTTTATGTTAAAATATTTGAATAAGTTTCACTGTACCTTAAACAGTTTCTTGTGTGTTGATTTCTCAGTGGCTTTGTAATTGGTGTAAATGCTCTTGCAGATAGATCACAGCTTGTGTACTCCTGTAAGAAAGGATGGGAAAATCTAGTCTTAGTGTAGTGGAGTAACTGTTCTGTTCTACAGAAAATGTGAAGTTTGATACAGATTTTAACCATGTAATAATATGACCCTGGTTCACAAGTAATGCAATTAAATGCAAACTGAAGAGCAGTCTCCATCAGCAAGACCCTGAGGTGCTGATTTTTATCTTCCAAAGTTCAAGACCAAAATGTCTTGCAGATGGCACAGCAATCCTTCTGATGGCCCTGTCCTATGCACTTCAAACACACAGTGTGAGGATTGCTTCTGGGCATACACTTGCTGCAGGTTTCACAGGCTTTGAAGCCTGGATATCCAGGTATGCCCTGGTGCTGAAGAAGCAGGAAACACTTTCCCTTCCCCTCAGAAAAGGAAACATAATCTAACATTAATTAATTGCTTAATTAACTGTTAATAAATGTTAACTACTGAGGAACTGTGTCAATAGACTGCTGCTTTTTTTTCCAACAAGAGCACAAGGAAGTTCTAGCTAACTGTCACTGGTGGCAAGAAGGAACTGAAGAGGGTGTAGGTCAGCAGGGCTCTGTACTGGGCACCATGAAGGCGTGCTTACAGGGGGTGCCCGGGCTGACTTAGGACCACAAAATTTGGTATACACCTTCCTCTTATCATAACTTAAAGAAGCATAAGTAGGATTTGGTTGTGCAAAGAAAATGAGATGTACCTGGAATAGGATTGCTTCTCATAAAACTATACAGAAGAGAGAATGAATCACCAGAGGCAGAAAGCGTCCCCCGCCCCCAGATCTACACAGGAACATTGCTGGCTGTTTCCCTTCATCAGGGAGCAAGGGGGAAACGCTCAGTTTGCTGCATTACTCACTCTGATTGGAAAGTGCAGGGGGCAGATGAGCTGTGCACTTCAGTCTTGTTCCCTGACAGGGACACACAGGAGAAGAACAGGTAGCCCTGGTATGAATCTTGGGTATACCCACTGTCTTAGTGTAAGCGGGGGAATGGTCCCGCTCCTGTGGGGAACTTTCCTGGCTTCTATACACCCCGGTGAAATGAACCAGCGAAAGGATCTGAGTCCCCGCTCCCACTTCCTTTACCCCACGGCTCCCTGATCCTGAGGGCTCCCCCTCCACTCTCCTGAGTAGCAGAGCCCTTGAAACCCCAACAAGGCTGGGCCCAGGTTTCCTGGGGCTTAATCCCTGACCTTGTAGTCACTAGGGGCAGGAGTTAGGGTGTCCCCACTCCGAGGTGCTCTCTTTACACTGCAGGCCTTCTTGGCCCAGTGATCACTTCATAAGGTTCAAAGCAAATACAATTTATTAAACAACAACGGATTAAAGAGAAAAGAATAAGAAAAAAATGAGAATGGTTAAATGAGAACACACAGCCCTGCTCTGTAGCACAGGGACATCAAAACAGCAGCCTGCAGAGTATAAGGACAGTCCACAGTCTCTTTCTTAGAAGCCTCAGTCTCTAAGTGGCCAGACCCCTCTCCCAGTCCAGAGCCTTTCCCCACACTTTGCAGGTCCCAGTAGCTCACCACATCCAGCTGCAGGCTGTGCTGCTTGGCCAGTTCCAGCTCCTTGTGTTGTTTCTCTGTTCCTTTTGGCTTTCTGAGCACTGCCAGTCTGCTGCTCAACACAGGGTCTGCACTGCTTGGCCTGTCTGTGTCTGGTTCTGTCGCTGCAGGACTTCTTGTACTCCTCTTTCAGCTCTCTGTCTTTGCAGGACCTCTTCTGCACACAGCTTGTTTGTTCAGAGACAGAGCCAGAACAATCCCCACTTACAACCTGTCAGTCAGGCTGAGCTGGAGTGTTGACTGCTTTCCATTGTCTCTGGGGTCTGTCAGTCTCGTGAACCCTTCCCCTTCTGAAGCTGGTAAACCAAAAAACTCCCACAGAGTTTTAGTAAGGGGTAACAGTCCCCTTACATTAGGGTATGTCTATGTTGCAATTAAAAATTGTGGCTGTCCTGAGCCGGCTGACTTGGGTTCACAGGGCTCGGACTGTGGTTCTATTTAATTCAAAGGTATACATTAGGGATGCGAAGGACTAGTTGACTGTCAGATAAGCAAATGCTTATCGGACAGTTGACATGCTTCTCGATTAGTCGCTTCCCCTCTTTCCCCTTCCTCCCCCCTTTGCTGCCTCTATCAGAAAGAGGCAGCAAGGGCGGGGGGAAGGAGGTACTTCAAAGCGTCAGTGCCGCGTGGAGCCTCTTGTGCACTGGGGCACTGAAGCCCTGTACTCAGGGCCTGCCCGAGGTATTCTGGCGCCCCGGGTCAGCCCATGGGGAGCGGGCCCGCTCCCAGGGCGCACGGCGCCTGGGAGGCCCCG